CGCTTATTGCACGAAAACTAGTGTAGCGATTTCAAAGCAAAGTGTGGCGTTTTAAAAATAAAGGGCCAAACCTATCGACAGATTTATCTATGTAGTTAACCAATTCGGTTTCTGTCGTAGAAACAACGGTAAATATTGGCTTATTTTGGTGTCAATTTTGAGCCTTTTAAGTGCTCTAGCAGCTTATGATTTGCAGTATAACTTTAATTTTCGGGATATAGGATAATTTTCGGGAGCAACACAAATAATATAGTGTACAATTTTTTTTTAAGGCAAACATATGTGTGTAGGTATTTCGGCTTTTGAGTAACAGATGGCGCTATATTTATAACCTAATGTATGTAGCGTAGGTTGATTGCAGTTAATATGGTAATGTGTGTATCTGATCTGTACCGTTCGTTCGATTTTACAAAATGAGGTATCAAATTAAAGGGCTTGGCCTTTGGATGTGCAATAACTTTTTATTTTTTCAAAAAGAGTTGTCACCTGATACAAAAATTAAACTCAAATTTGTTTTAAGTTAAATTAGTTATTACACTACGAGTACGGATCGTAATGGTTTTGAAAAGGCTTTATTTCGTAATTATATGTAGGAGGGTTGCCACCTGTTTCAAAAAGCAAGTTTAACTTAAAGAGAAGGCAGAGAATTGAAATCTATCTCCTGATATGGATGTCAGACGTAAGAGGTTGTGGTTTGAAAATATTTTTCAGAGTGTTACCACCTTGTTGCAAAGCTAGATTTAATATAAGCAATAGGTTAAATAAATTACCTCAATATGAATATAAATCAAAATTGCTTCGAAGAAACTTTATTTCCAAACTGCATGAAGGAGGGTTGCCACCTGATTTTATGACTGAATTCAATTTTAATTAAGAGTATTAGATAATTTAAATATGTATTACAACACAAATGTCAAACGAAAAATTTATCGCGGTTTTGGTTTATAAATAATTGACATCTGTTTAAAAAGCCGAATTAAATTAAATTATATGAAATATTGAAACATTGGCGTCAAACAAAGGAGTATTAAGAAATATTGAGTTTGAGCATTTATAGCATTAAATAGGGTTTCAACCTGTATAAAAACTTAGACTCAAATTATTTAATAAGTGAAATGAATTACTAAAGTATGGATATAACTAAACTTTATTTAAGAGTGTTGCCATATGTTTTTGAAATAAAATTCGACTTGAATTAAGGGAATTAGATACACAATTTAAATATGTATCGCAATATGTGTGTCAGTCGAAAAAGGTTTAACAAGTTTTTGGTTTTAAAATATTTTGAATAGGGTTGCCCCCTGTTTTAAAATAAGAATTCAATTGAAGTATGCATAGGAAATATTAAAATATGACATGAAACGAAGGTGGTAAGATATGCTTAGTTTGTATATTTAGAACACTAAAGGGGGTTGCTATCTGTTTAAAATTGTAAACTCAAATTATATAATAAGTTAAAAATAAGTTAAAGCAATTATTGAAAATATGGGTATCAAATGAAATGGGTTTAAAAAGGCTTTATTTCTGAACTGTATTTAGGAGCGTTGACACGTATGTAAAAAATTAAATTTAACTTAATTCATCAGGCACATGAAATATTTATGTAGGTATCACAAGATTAGAGATTTGTTTATTTCTTAACTATATTTAGGAGAGTTGCCACTTATGCACAAATTCTATTAATACCACAAATACAATACGGGGACCTAAGCTAATATAAAAAGTAATACAAATTTCTGCAGTATGAAAGGAAAAAATAATAATATTCAAGTAGTAATACACGTCATGGCATATGTATGTCTATTTATGAGCTGATGGTACATATGATTGAAGTTAATATGGATCTGCTTCTCTATTGCTAATGCTCAATATTTTGCTATTATATTCAAAACAATTAAAACGAATATTTTATGCACCGTTTTTAACTTGAACGTGATCTTAATAATATCACGTATTCTACGTTTAAGTGAAGCGATCAAGACGAAGGCGCTGGAATGATCCCTTTTTTTCTAAAAAAAATCGACTTTATCCGAATTTTGGTACCACAAAGATTGATTTCAAACATTCGCCATTTTGGAGCTAAAATCCGATTAAACCTCGGGCGCAGAAGCAAGGTTGAAAGTTGAGCTAATTTATTCGTCGTCGTCTCCGTCGGCTTTGTGCATGTAACTTAATAAGCAAAAAGCTGTTTTATTTAAATTTTTATAGCTTCCAGACTGAAAATTCGTATAAACAAAAAAATAATTTTGAACTAATTTATTTTTAAATAAAGTCAATAAGGGCCGTGTTCACAGTGCTTAGTTAAATCATTGTTAACTTAACCACCAACAAGAGTTTAACTATGAATTTATATTCAGGGTCAAATAACGGGTGATTTTTTTGAGGTTAGGATTTTCATGCATTAGTATTTGACAGATTACGTGGGATTTCAGACATGGTGTCAAAGAGAAGGATGCTCAGTATGCTTTGACATTTCATCATGAATAGACTTACTAACGAGCAACGCTTGCAAATCATTGAATTTTATTACCTAGAAAAGTTGGCAGAAAATCCGCTTTTTTATCGACAAATTTTGTTCAGAGATGAGGCTCATTTCTGGTTGAATGGCTTCGTAAATAAGCAAAATTGCCGCATTTGGAGTGAAGAGCAACCAGAAGCCGTTCAAGAACTGCCCATGCATCCCGAAAAATGCACTGTTTGGTGTGGTTTGTACGCTGGTGGAATCATTGGACCGTATTTTTTCAAAGATGCTGTTGGACGCAACGTTACGGTGAATGGCGATCGCTATCGTTCGATGCTAACAAACTTTTTGTTGCCAAAAATGGAAGAACTGAACTTGGTTGACATGTGGTTTCAACAAGATGGCGCTACATGCCACACAGCTCGCGATTCTATGGCCATTTTGAGGGAAAACTTCGGAGAACAATTCATCTCAAGAAATGGACCGGTAAGTTGGCCACCAAGATCATGCGATTTGACGCCTTTAGACTATTTTTTTGTGGGGCTACGTCAAGTCTAAAGTCTACAGAAATAAGCCAGCAACTATTCCAGCTTTGGAAGACAACATTTCCGAAGAAATTCGGGCTATTCCGGCCGAAATGCTCGAAAAAGTTGCCCAAAATTGGACTTTCCGAATGGACCACCTAAGACGCAGCCGCGATCAACATTTAAATGAAATTATCTTCAAAAAGTAAATGTCATGGACCAATCTAACGTTTCAAATAAAGAACCGATGAGATTTTGCAAATTTTATGCGTTTTTTTTAAAAAAAAAGGTATCAAGCTCTTAAAAAATCACCCGTTAGTTCACTATGGAAACTCGTATCGCCTAAAAATATACAAATTCTAAAAATCAATACTTTTCTATTCAAATTTGAAATTCGTTCCACAAAAACAAAATAATATCACAAGAGTTTAACTATGGGGGCATGCTGGTTTAAACGTTTGTTAACTGAGCATTGTAAATATGAAATTCAGTAGTTAAAACTCTTATTAGTGGTTAACTACGCACTGTGAATTTGGCCCTAAGGTGTAGAAATTTTGTTGTGCAATCATTTCTTTTGTCGCTCTAACCCAAAATCCATAGCCTCTTGCCTTTACGCAATCTATAATGAAGCGCTCCTGTTCTCCACAAACAATTTCACGAGTTAACAACAGAGGGCGCGCAAATCCATAACAGTTCGGTCATGAACCTTGCACCTATAGAACTAGAAATTGCCTTCCGTGTCACCTGGTGTCGAGTAGCGCAAAATGCTTTAGTAATGGTTGCCAGGCATAGTAGTAAAACAGGAGGAGCTATGGAATGGATTTTGCTACGTTGTAATCGATGCAAGTGCACCACCTTGAATTTTTCGACCTTTTTTTAGAATTTGTCACCATTATTTAACAGCCAGTGCGCAGAGCGACGCAAAATTAACAGAGATATTAAAATGGGAAATATTTTTGGTGTTATATTTTTTCTAACAATAATTTTTCCAAAAAAATCTCTCTTCTAAGGTGTATTGCACAAATAAGGTAAATTTAAATCGAAAACCGTTTTATAAAATTTTTGATTTTTGAAATATTTGGTCTCTGTTTATACAGAAATTTTTGACACAAAAAAAATTGCTCGTTTTAAAAGCAAGTTAGTTTTCTTTATCGAACATCCACACTACCATATGAGCGCATATCTTGCTGGCTCGCGCTGAATTCATTGGAATGCACTACCGGAAGTACAGGGTGAATTAGGGAGAGAATTTTCTGCACTGTTGCCAGCTTTTTGCTTGTCAAACTAAATTTAGTGCTTTTTTTATTCAAAACGGGAAATTTTTTGAGTTTGGTGCTCGGTGCGTTTTTTGGTGCTTTTTTTCTTAGTTTGAAGACACTAAATCTGTAAGAAAATATGACCCAATCATGACAGAATGACATTCGGTAATTTTCCAATGCCTGCTGAATGGCGTCTGTTCTAAGAAAAAGGTCCATGTTTAGTTTGTTATTTTTCATGACTATTCAAAAAAGCAGCAGCATCTCCTTACAGCGAAATTAATAACGAAACTTTTAAGGAAATAATAATCGAAATTGGATGCAATTTGTAGAGGAGGCATCTTTTTGACACAAAAAAATTTTTCCCACTATGCGCCGGTGAATAATACGCTCAAATAGGACACATTAAAAAGGGAAATGAGATTTCGCTATGTTTCAGCTGTTCAGCGTTCGGAAAGAAAGGTGCGGTGGAGATTAAACTCCCACATAGTTCATGAAACTGCAATAAAATTAAAAACTTTGACAAAAAATTCTCAATTTATTCTATTGATTAATTTAGTAGTTAGAATCGGAATACATACAATAAAACTTTTTATGCATACAAAGTCCGTTAAATACTAAAAAAAAAAATCGTTGCTTTTTTCGAGAAAATACCCAACTTTTTGGGGGTTTTAGTGCGTTTTCAAATTCAAAACTTGGCAACACTGTTATCTGCTTTCATATCTTCTTGTCATTCGTTTTTTTGCATTGGCTCTTTTATTCTATACGCGATTTCCACTCATTCTAGTTTTGCAGTGCAAAAAGTGAATTCGTTTTTCTGCGGAGCCCATTGCAATGAGTGAATAATTTTTGTGCTAATTGGAAAATAAAAAGACAAAACCTTGCAAAGTTGTGAAAACTTCTTAGCAACTGTGCGGAAAACCGGTGTAAACTGCAAATGTTCTATAGTTTTTGCGAAAAAATATGCAAATGAAAAAAGGTTGTGAAAAGAATTACCAACAAGAAAAAAGTGCAGGAAGAAGCAGAGTAGTGAAATAGTGAACGAAGCAAGTGAAATTGCATGTATTGCACAAATGCAGAATTAAATACAAAACAAAAAAGTAAAGATTGCTTGAAAAATCTTTGCAATTTTTTTCTGTGTTTGAAGTTCGGGGGTAATTTTGTTGCAAATTCCGTTTGGTAAGCTTTGTGCAGTGATAGACATAAAAACAACTGCTGATTGCAGTCGGAGGGTAAAACAAAAGCAACAACGCGTGCAGCGCAGTATCGTGGGGCGCAGAGGAAAAGCAGCAGCAGCGTTGAAGAAGCAGCTGATTTTCGTTTGACGTTCCGGTGGTGTTAGGCAGAGCGCTACAGCTGCGCTAACTGCGCAGTTCACCATTCGAAAGAACAAAAGAAGGTAAGATTTGTATCTATAAAAGACGTTTACTGATATTTTATTAAAAATACCTTTACCAACTTCTTTTCCATGCCAGCGTCCATTTTGGTTTACTTATAAATTTGGTATTTCTCCTCGTCACAAAAATAATCGATAAAACCAGGTTGAACACTGAAAAGTTATCGGTTTAATCTGAGATAATTTTTTTCTGATTACAGATTAACCAGGGACGAATTTTGTATGGCTAATCGCCTTTTCTAATTACAGATTGGGGAGTTCAGCTCCCCCTAATGAGGATAATCTATTTATATGTAAACCTAGTATACCGAAAATGAGCATAAGTAAAGAATAAGCCCCTTCGAGTTAGAAAAACATTTTTGGTGCAAATTAATAATCGATTCCAGCTCCAAACTCGAAAGAAGCATCGAGTACTTACATCTAATTGACAAGTTTTAACTACATATTTATTTGATTGTTTTTTAATTTTTATCATTTTTTTTTATAAAAATATAGGTTATTTTTACCTCAGGCACAATACTTTATAAGAGCGTACAATTGCTGGCGTATGCCG